GGTGGCAGTATAGATGTCAGGACAGAGGAATCGATATAAATTTTGCAGTAGCTGTTGTGTCTGTTGTTTGTCCAGCAGGTTGCCGGATGCAGCCGTGGAGCGGCTGGACGGACTGTACCAAGCCGTGCGGCGGGGGGATCCAGGAGCGTTTCATGATGGTGAAGAAGAGGGCGAAGGGCAGCGGGACGGCGAGCTGTAAGGACCGCAAAGAGATCCGGGCCTGCAACGTTCATCCCTGCTAGGGGGCGCTAGTGAGCCACAGAGAGGCGAGGAGGTCTCAAACACAAGGAGGAGGACGGGGTTTGGTTTTCGGTGTACAGGGAGGTGAGGGGAGGAGGACGGGGTTGGCTAAGGATAAGGACGAGGAGGAGGAGGAAGGAGAAGATGCTGTTTAGTGAAGCCATTGTAGACATTTAGTTAACAGGGCTGACTTTTATTTTAGACCACAATGGAAGTGTTAGAGAGTCTGTGTCCTGCAAAAAAAACAACTTGTCAGTAACTTTCTGCAGCGTTTCAACATGTGGAATGAACTCCGGGTACTTTCTGGGAATTTTCACCTAAAGTCTGCTTTAATTTTCTGTTCACTGCTGGATGCACTGAAACAAACACACCTCCTATGAACCGTATCGACGCTTCAACACGAGATTCGACTTTCAATGCAAAGCATCATAACTGGGTTTTCTATTTTTATTTTTTATTTTTTAAAGGTTCGCACTTTCCTCCAGTTATTTTTCTTAAACTTTCTTGCAGAGAGTTACACAAAATAATCGATAGCACTCTGAGGTCAGCGCTGTACTTTACACATCCCGGAGCGTGTGAGGGTTCGAGTGGTGCGAATTTCATCATCAGAGGAAGAACGGCAGGTTTTCTATCTGCGTAGCCTTCAGGGTGTTTTTTATGCTGTGCATGTGCTGGAGTGTAGATGGAGGTCTGCAGCGCATGTAGGGATGGTGTCCGCCAAACAGGCCACAGAATCTGGAAGTTTCGAGGCCGTGCATGGAGCAGTAGCTGTCAGGAGTCGACATCAGGGCCGGTCTGTGGTTGCTGGTAGGTGGACCTTCTAGACGGAGCTCAAACTGCAGCAGAGAAGAAAGAAGAAGAAGAAGCCTTTGTTTGTCAGGGGAAACGTCACCTCTTGTTTCAGTCAGCAGCTGGATGGTCCAACCTTCATGCGGAGGAACATCGTGGCGGCCAGAGGAGGGTCGGCAGCTACCATCAGGAGAAGGAACAACAGTTTCCAAAACCAGACAAGGTGCATCAGATCAGGAGCACCAGGTTCATGCTCGACGTTGTCTTCAACATCCACGCGGTCGAGCAGCATGAATTTGTCCTCCAGGGTCGGACTGTCGAGGCAGAGTTGTGCCTCTAATGTCTTTAAGAAAGAACGTTAGCCGTGGCGCGATAGCTTGTAGCTCCACTTTTGCACAAATGCTTTTGGCCACGACAGCACAATCCATGTTTTCCACCGGCCCGACTTGCAAGATTTGACTCGTGGCAACTTCTTCCTCCTCTTAAAATGAAAGTTAAAGAGTTGCTGTTTCGGCACAGAGATCGTGACGCTGCTGCTCGTACATGTTGCACCTGCATCTCAAAACTTCCTGATCAACCCTCGTAGCTCTTTAGTCTGACTCCCTGAATGTAGACTGAGGGTATAAGCTAGCTACATGCTGGAAATGTCACGTTTTGCAGAGGATTTGGATCGTGTTCCACCAAAACCGATGTGCTCGTCACTATTTTGCGGAAACACCATCGCCGGATCCTTTGCTTAGCTCCGCCCGAGACAACTTAAGAAATTGATTTAAAGAAATGCAACCAAGTGTTTATTTCATGATGAGGAGCAGTCAGACTGTTCTACACAGTACCGATCATGCAAAAGTGTAGCTTTTTAGCTTAGCAGAAGACTGGAAATGAGAAAAAAAACGTGGCCTGGCTCAGTTTATCGTTAACAAAATCCCCGAGAAGTTCACAGATTTATGTGATGAATAGTGCAGCATTTTATCGACTGTTTGTGTTTCAGATCAGAACAGCTGCCTCCAACCTTGTTAGCAATCTCTGTGCTAAGCTAAGCTAGCAGTCTGCTAGCTAACTAGCAGCATTCCCAAGTTGTCACACTGCTCATGTGGGAGGGTTTTCTGGTTTTTGGCACTTTGTTTAGTTTCACTTTAACACAATCATTTTTGTTTAACTATCCGCAGCGTGAAACTTTCATTTTGTGGTGAGAATTCCCAGAAAGTCAGGAAGGTATTAATAAAATCTACAGCGTATTATTTCAAGATGCCAGCTGTTGTTTCATTATTTCATCGAGACAAAAGCATTTTTTCTGTTTTTTTGCGGGACACAGATGCTAACACAGGACTTGTGTAAAGACTTCTGGATGTACCGACATCTACTATCTAACCAACACGTATAAACGACACTGCTATGTAATTACTAAAAAACAAAAACAACAAAAAAAAACACTTTCCCTAATCAACAGACACATTTAAATGGAGATGTTTTATACTGTTCGGACTAGTCTTTATATTCTGCTGTTTATCTGTCGTTTCAGCCGATGTAGCATCGAACCCTGCGCTAGCTCCCGCGCTGGCTCTTTAGCATGTGCCAGGAGGATTTCTTTTTTTGTTTGTTTGTTTGTTTTCGGTTGGGATTCTAGGCTTTACCGGCTGTTCTTGTCGTCTTAAATGACTGTATCTGCCTTTGTTGGTTCCAGAAAATGTCGAGTTCTGGCTGAAGTTAGCGAACATAGCGGCTGCTGCAGCGTTAACCTGTAGACGAGCTCGACCGCAGTAGACTGTTAGCGGGGCCTCGCTCACCACACATTCCCACCCATTGTTTTTATTTCTTATTGCGCTTTTCAGTGCGTTGCCGTGACGACAGCAATCTGTAAAATCCTTTTTTTTTTTTTTTTAGCTGATTAAGTTGCGGTTTTCTGTTATTTTCATCACCACCAAAGCTCTGTTTCCTGTAGAGATGTTTTCTTTTTTTAAAATTTGTTTTAAAGGCCTCTTTCTGTTATTTCTTTGCCTCTGTGACTATTTTGTAAGAAACCACCTTTACAATAAAAGAACGTAAATGTGAAACTGGTGTCGTCATTGAAGCGGACGGAAACGTCGACGTCAGAACGAAGCAGCGACGTTTTTATCACTGTTCACAATCGATTCAGTTCAATTTGTCTTTTTTTTTTACGAGATATTAAAATGAAAACAGATTTCTACAAAGTGATTTTAATTAATTAAACATATAAAACGTTTAAAAAGGCGATCGCGTAAGTATCCACCTCCTGATAAATCTGGACGCTCCTCGATGGACTTCAAGGGCCCGAAACTCTGAAGATATTCATCTGCTGAAGGTAAGATGAAGTAAAACTGTTAGAGGAGACAACAAAAGCCATTTTTCTCTCCTTCATGTTCATCCAGCAGTTTTCTTTGACGTACATTTTACTGTAAAGGCTAAAATAACAAACCTGTTGCTTGTAGAAACTTAATGTTGACGCCCAGTCGAAGGGTTCTGCTCCACGGTGCAAAGAAAAAGCCTGAAAACCACCAAATACGTTGCTGTTAGCTGCTTTAGGTTGGTTTAGAAGCTGGACTCTGGGAATAATGCTTAAATAAAGAAACCAAAAACTATTGAGCCTCATTTTTCCATAAAGAAAGTCATGAAGAAGACTTTGCTGATAGACGGGTGTCGAGGTGGTGGTTTGTCCAAGTTTTTATTAAACATACAAAACCTTTTGTAGATTTTTTTTGAAGCTGATTGATTTTTAAGGGAAGGATCCAGTTTTGCAGCAGCTCTGAAAGCTTTGGAGGGAACCAGGTGTTGATTCAAGGCGACCACTCGAACCGGACCGCTGATCCCGGTACGTACACTGTGTCTGCTGCTGAACCTCCTTCACTGCCATGTTTTGATGCTTCAGGTTGTAATTAATGTACCGACAGGCGAGCGCAGACGGACGGAGGCGTGGGAACGCTGCTGAAGATGCTGCTTCAGACGGGACTCGAGGACTCTGAAGGATGTCTTCGCTCTGCGGAGTTTCTGTACTTCAGCTCAGAACACTGGGAGACCGAACCTGGACGAGTCCTCAGTCGAACCAAGCTGCAGAACAAACAGTAGTAACGCCACTGACGGCGTTTCACGGCTTCCTTCTATCTGCTGCACTTCCAGTTTGTGTCCACTAGATGGAGCTACAGGACTTAAGAATCATGCAACCCCACAGGAAGAAGGTCCAGTTGACAGACGGGGGGTTCATAGAAATGCTTTACTGACTAAACATTGTGTTTCTCCAGATTTACACTTAAGAGAACATGGTTTCATCCTGGTTTCACTCACTATGACTGTTGTTTGTCCAAACAACGGTGGAAAATCTTCCAAAAGTTGGTGTTTGTTTCATACATTATTTAAAATTTACATTAACAGGAACCATTTTTGAGAAACGATAGTTTTTTTTCCAGCTCTACTTGATAAACAGCAACACACTGGAGTCAGAGGAACTAACTTTTCATCTACGGTGGAAGGTATTTTTAATTAACCGTCAAGGTATTAAAGGAAAGACTTGAAATCCTGACATGAAGGTGAAGATGTGTTAAGTTATCGAGCTGATTTCATTAATCTACCTCAACTTGAATTTAGTTTTCGGTCAATTAACACAGAAATTTGAGATTAAATCACAAAATATTAAACAATGTTTGCAACTTCAATCGTTTATCTGAAGGTTTTAATGCCATGCATTTAGGAAAAGTGAAACACCTGGAAATCTATGTTGCCTGAACAACTCTAAAGAATAAAACTATGCAACAGATTGCATCAATCTTGAATGAGTTCCAACAACTAATGAAATTATGTTCATTCAACACACTGGTAACTAATCAAGCCAATTTCATTAAGTTACATCAACTTAAGTTTAGCTTTAAAGTCTAATAATGCAGAATACGATGAATTTAGCTCAGCCCTTCAAAATAAAGTCTGCAACTTAAATACTTGATCTAAATCTTGCAGCTTGTTTAGGAAATAAGTTCCTTGAATTACAGTCGTGACTCGATGACCCGACACTAAATGTAAAACCTTCTCTTATGTCGGATTGTCAAGACGGAGGTCCAGATACGAGGAGGGCTTGATGCTGGAAGGATCATTAGTTGTTCATTATTGTTCATAGTTGTTATAATAACTAGTAGGGCTGGTCCCAGTAGAACTTTCTGCTCTCTGGATATTCAGGCCCAATTAATGATGAATATCAGAACATTCGGTGCGGTCGGGGGACACTTCCACCCCGGGGCAGCGCTCTGACGGGGTGGAAGTGTCCAGAACACACAGGCAGTACTTGGCTGCTGATGCTAGTTTAGTTAGCGCTCACACTTCTGTTTCCTCCATCGGTGGCGGCGGGGGAGTGGCAGATACGCTCCACCGTTACCATCCATGTTTACTTCCATAAACACTGAGCACGCTCGCTGCGTGTGACGTCGTCGTGTCCTCTTCTGCGCATGCGGGACACTTTTGGGTCGTATGAAGTTCACACAGCAGATCACATACAAGTCGCATTGAAGTGGAAACGTGAAGGAAGTCACAAAGAAATCCTCATTGAGCATCAAGTCCTGCAGTGTGAACGTAGCCAATCTGTGGGATTGTTCAGTCAGATAATACGCCGTCATCCTGATTGGTGACATTAAATGTCATGTCGGAGTCACAATCCAAGGCTGTCGCTATGTTAAGGCTGTTTTTATGGGTTCTGTTGGTTTTTCCTAAAAACCTGTCAGATAGCAGGTTTAGGATTGTTAAGGGTCGATTATCGGGTCACCACTGTACTTTTTTTTTTGGCGTGCTATATTTGCAGGTGGCTTCAGGTCTCTCCTACATTTCCCACAATGCAGCTCGGCTCCTTCAGGTTCCTCCTGCAGCTCCGTCCCAGGTGGCGTCATTATACCGTGAAGCGGGTTCGTCCACAGTCACATGATCCATTATTCAGCAGGCGGAGCTGAACTCGCCGTGACCCCTGAACGGATTCACATGTAGAAATCTGAGCGCTTCCCCTTTAAAAGCTCTCGCATGAAGGACGGCTGTGACCCGCCGAGCTGAACCGTGAATGTTCTGAACTGGTGGACCTTCACATGTTGCACCTCGGCAGCCTGTTTAAGCGTCATGAAGCCAGACCGCCCACCGCCTCATGAATTATACACGTCGGATGAAGCACAATAGCTTTTTATCCACTAATGATCAATATTGGATGATGTTTTGCAGCTCCTGCTCCGGGAGCAACAATTAGACGTGCTCTCAGCTTCCAGCAGCACTCTGCGACGCCTCCTCCTCTCCGTTAAAGCCTCCGAGGCCCAGAGGTTTATCCGAGGATGAGCGTCCTGCAGCAGGGCGCCACTTCCTGACAACGCCGTACAGGCGCTCAATAATTCAACCCCCAAGATTCATGTCGCACCAGTGTTTTGGTTTTTAAATTCTTAGCGAGACACAAACTACTGGAAATGATGCGTAACGGATCTACTGTGGGATGTTTAATGAGAGGCAGGTTGGGAGATACGTGAGCTTTTCGTCGTACGGGAACTCTGGAGCAGGAAAAACTGGTAAAAGACAAGCGATCCAAGGCGGGAAGAAGAAAATAGCAAGTTTTACGTCTTCGACTCGCACGTCAGCGTCTGAAACATGAAGCGACGGCGAGTCAGAGACGTCATAAAGCAGCTTCAAGAATCCTGAGTAGAAACCTACGGGGGAATAAAGATGGCGGATGCATGGCAGGTTACAGTCACCTGGTTTAGATCACAGAACTTGTTGATTTTTTAGTTTTCCTTCATGGTTTTTAAACCGGTGATTCCATACGTGCTGTTTTTATGTCCCGTAATATGAAAAATTGCAGAGACGTCGCCCCCGATTCACTCCGAGTCATTTAGCATCAGTTGCAATCGGAGTTTTCTTGATAATGAAAACTTAAAGCGCATTACATGGATCAAAAATCGATCCGACGTCGGCTGAAAACAAAACGTAAAAATCAGTCTGGTTGAGGAAAAAGAGCAGCAGGCAGGAAACGGTGTTCACGAAGAGCAAACGAATTGCTGCTCAAATAAAAACTGTACAAACACATAAAAATGATTCTAAACGTTAGAAATACCAGTGAATTAAGTTTCTACATGAACATCATGAAACAAAACTGCGGATTTATTCTCTCCGTGCTGCTGAATATTTCAGTCATAGTCATAAAAATAAAACTCCCGTCATGTCGATGTCTCAGTCGCGTTTCAGAGTTTTCTTCTTTCAGCTGCAGCCTCGGTGGTTTTAGGAGCAAATATGAAAACATTCAAACCTTTTAGTCGACTTACTGCAAACATATAAGATTAAGAAGCAGATTGTAGTGTTTTAATCAGCTTGTTTTAGGATGAAATGAATGAATGAACAGAGCTGCTTTCTGTGAAAAATTAAATAAAAAATATCACAAACTGCTTCCTACAAAATGTATTTTTCAACAGAAATGAAAAATCTCTCAACAAAAACAATAAATAAAACATAAACAGCCACTTTTCTGTTTGAATAAAGCTCAGAAACCATAAAGATGATGTTTATTGTGCAGTTTTTTGTGACGCATTCGTTGCTTGTCACCTTCATAAAGCTTCATCTAGAGCAGGGGTGTCCAGTCCTGGTCCTGGAGGGCCACAGTCCTGCATGTTTTAGATGTGTCCCTCTTCCAACACACCTGATTCAGATGATCAGGATGGTTATCAGGCTTCTGCAGAGCTTGATGATGAGCTGATCATTAGAATCACAGGGAAACATCTTAAACATGCAGGACTGTGGCCCTCCAGGACCAGGACTGGACACCCCTGATCTAAAACATGCAGGACTGTGGCCCTCCAGGACCAGGACTGGACACCCCTGATCTAGACGACAGTCGGGTTAGATGAGCCGCCTCGTGGTTCTGGAAAACCAAAGAAGAAGGTGGTCATGTGACCAAACATGTCTGAAGAGGAGTCCATTAAACTCTCCCAGCAGCACATGGAGCACGAGGTCGGGTAGTGAACAAAACAGCGTTGGGTCGGAACCATTACAGAGCTACGGTCTGAGGCTAAACTGTTAGCACGACGTTAGCTCT